TGAATGCTTGACCATGGGAACTAGCTGCGGTCGCCAAGCGCTCGACCACGGGCACAAGCGGCGGTCAATGAAATCTAGACCATGAGTGATGGACAACGACGTGAGAGGCGGTCGACAAGCGCTCAGCCATGAGCACGAGCGGTGGACGACGTCAAGGTGTCGGACCTCCAACGGAGGTGGAGAAGGGTGGGTGAAACTTTTATTACTATGGATAAGAGAGAGAGAGAGAGAGAGAGATAGAGATTTGTTAATTTGTTTTGGGTGAAAATTTTAGGGGGAATTCTCCCGCTATTTTTTTAGGCCCAAAAAAATCATTTTACATCCTTGAGTTATTGTTGGATTATTACAATATTATGATTAGGTTTAGGGTAATATTAGATTTTTGTGAAATTAGAGTTAAAATTAGGTCATTTAGGTGAATTGCTATTGCATCCCTCAAATCTAACTATTATTATCAATTTTCTTTTTACATCCTTGAGTTCATAGTTAATGTTTAGGTCATTTTAATATTAGTCACTACAAGAAATCAGGTCTTTAATGACCAAAATTTGTGAAGGGACCATTTGGCCGTCATTAATCGGTATAAAATACGGACGGTTTTTAAAACCTTCGTTGAGTTATCACAAATATTAGACGAATGATATAAAATGAGATAATAGTTTTTTAGTTCCTTCATTGATTTGGTCCTAATACCGTTGTTATTGGGCTCCTGAAAGATGAAGGAGTCCATTACCTTCATTAATGATAAATCTCTTCTTTTTTTAATATATCAAAATGACAAGAGGTGATTACAGAGCAGGTTCGTGTTTGATTGCTTATATCAGTTTGGGCAACTTGACCATGTGTACTATGAAACATGGAAATTCTTCTCTCTCTTTTTTCTACAGTAATTTTAGTACCTAATTCTAATAATTCTTCAATAAGTACCGGTGTGGATCATTTCTTTCATTGGCAAGTGACTGTAGGCGTATAAAATTGCTTATAGGTCCCTTAGCACAGCTCGGCACAAACCAACGAACCATTGGGCGACGTATCCAAACACGAGCGTCAATCCACAACGCCAAAGCCAAGTGACACGCAACGAAGCGGATTAACGAGGCGATGAGGCAAACGAACCGCACACAAACAATGGAATACATCCATTCGCATGCGGAATCAAGCTAACAGTTCGGTGAGTCAACGAGTCATCCAATCATAGAACGGATTTAAACTCAAACACCGAGGCGGATTTACTGCCATATCAGGAATCAGGTCAACGAATCGAGTCCGAACAAGTCAACCACACAACCGAATCACGGACAGAACCGAAAGACGGAAAACGACGGAACCCAAATACCTATAGGGGCTCGGCCAAAGCCGAGCCCAAGAGCCGGCCACCTATAGGTGGCCGGCCCAGATCTGTGCGCGGGCATAGTTCAGAGAGCCTATAAATAGGAGGCCTAGGCTCATTTGTCAGAGGTTGGAACTTTTGGAGGCGAAGCTCTGCTGGATTCAAGACTCAGAACTAAGAAAGATTGAAGCTTTGGGACTTTGAAGACTTGCTCATCCAGATCCGGTGCTCGGCGATCGTCAACGCCAAATAAGGCAAGAGTTCGAGAGGAACCAGATCTCAAATCGGATCTCAGATCTACGCAGGCATACTCCGGATCAAAGCTTGGTCTTTGATCCCGAGATTTGGGCGATTATTTCCTTGGTGAAATAATCCTCCCCGGCTATTATTTTCTTCGTGAAATAATACCCGTCATACTGCGTAGATCCGACCGGATCTAGATCTCGCGGTGGTCCATGGATAAACCCCGGCGTAGGCAAACAACCCACGCAAGCGAGTGACCACAAAATAGGAGCTCGCGATTTGTTCGACACAAAAGGAGAAAGTTGTAATCTTTTTTATTTTTCTTTGATTTTATTGTAACCGGATCTTACAAAAAGACCGGATCTTTGTAACTCAAAAAGCTGTTACTTGAGATGACAATGGAATCAACAATGAAGAAAGACACGATTTTCACCGCGAACAATCTGGCGACCATAGTGGGACGCAAGTCCAAGAAGTTCTCCTCCAGGAGAAAAGTTCGTTGGTTTGAAGAAGTTCAGAACGCCAACGAAGCTCTCACCCCAGTTGACGCCAAAGTTGCGTCGGGTGAAGTTCCGCCGACCTCCAACCAGGTCAACCCTACTCCCGCCGATGCCTCCACTGTTGAAGGTGTTGTCACTCTCTCGAAGAGAGCCCGCCAGAGGCGACGTTAACGCCTTGTGCGGCAACTCGCAAAGGCGATGGAGTCCATTGACGGAGTCCGTTATCACGCGGATCTGAAGAGCAGGAGAGGCAAACAACCTCAACCACCGATGAATGGCGACTCCTCCAAGCCGCCAACAAACGAATGGGTCTGGGTCAAACGGAACCGTTCGACACTTGAGGAGCGCATTCGCAAGCACCGCGCACTATCAGCGCAGGCACGAGCTCAAGTCCAAGAAGCCCGTAGAAGACTGCAGAAGGACGTGGCCAAGAAGCCGCCACCAACCCGCCAAGTATGGAAGCCGAAGTCTGAAGTGGCGATTCAGGCTATGGCAAAATTGTTGCAGCCTTCGAAGCAAGGTCAACCTCCGGCGAATCAACCAAAGTCACCGATAATTTCAATAGCTTCTCCGGGAGATCATGCAGAATCATCCCGAAGGAAGAAGCCAGTTTTGGAGTGCCTCGGTCCACTTCCTGATGGACGATGCAAGGCTCCTGTTCAAGATCGTTTGGGCCTGATGAAGAAACCCAGAACGAATCAACACACTAGGGGTCGCCGTCACCTCCAACATAACAAAGAAATCAGGGCAGCTACGCGCACCAATTTGCGCATTGAAGTCCAGAAGCGCGCAAGCTCATGGAAAAGCAGGGATATGATTTCACACTCGGAGAAGGTCTATACTTCGATCGAGGTCCTCGTGTTCTGGCCAAAGCGGCATATGTACCAAAAGGGAGACCCGATGATTATTATAAATACGGACGAGGGTTAGGGTATGAATCTTCTTCAGAAGACGAATGCTGCTGGTTAATTAATGACCAATCATCTAAGCAATATAAAGATGGAAATCCATTAGATACCTCGGAATGGGATTCCGATACAAGTCTGGGGGAAGCTTTCAAAGCCCTAATGGCGAACATGGCTACAGCTGATCCGTCCATAATGGAAGACGACGATCAAATGCCAACATGGGAAGACCCGTGGGTTCATCACCTGAACATGCAGTACGGTGATAGGTTCGAACAAAGGGAACCCCCCATTGAAGATAAAATAGTCCAAGTTAATATGGGTGACGAGGCCAACCCAAAGCCTATATTCATCAGCGATAGTCTTCCCCCAAATGAGAAGGAAGAATTAATTGCTCTCATCAGGGAATATATTGACGTCTTCGCGTGGAACTATGAAGATATGCCAGGGCTCGACCCCAATGTAGCAATGCATCGCCTCGATATCAAGTCCATTTCTAACGTTAATCCAGTACGGGTATTTATGACGCAACCAGCCTCTATGAATTGGCGGTTAGTGAAATGGGCTCTTCTCTTGTCCCAATATGATTTGCACTTCAAACAGCAGAAGTCGATCAAAGGACAAGCGATTTGTGATCTTTTGGCGGCAAACCCGACAACGGATACGGCAGAAGTATATGATGACTTGCCGGATGAAACCCATGAGGTTAACACTACGTCGCACCAACAAGTATGGCAATTATACTTCGATGGTGCTTCGAGGGCAGTTAATGTGGCAATAACCCCCGGATGTCCTAAAGTCTCCTCCGGAGTTGGAGTTGTTTTAATTTCCCCGGGGAAGCATGTGATGCCTCGGGCTTATTCACTGACTAGTCCGTGTTCCAATAACGTAGCCGAGTACAACGCGCTTCTCATTAGACTCAGTTTCGCCAAAGAGCTGGGGGTCGAATATCTCGAAGCTTTTGGGGATTCTCAATTGATAGTCAACCAAGTCCGTGGAGATTATGAAGTCAAGAACCAAGACCTGATCCCATACCACCAGGAGGCCATCAAAATAGCAGAATCTTTTGAAGAGTTCCCTATTGAATACATCCCTCGTCTCCAGAACGCTTATGCGGATGCACTGGCAGCACTAGTAGTATCACTTGCGCAGCCTTCCGAAACTGAGCTGTTAGTCACAGTAAGGACGCACCAACTCTGCATACCCATATACGATATGGATATTGAAGAGGAAGATGACGGAAACATAAACGCCAAGGATCAACTCAAATTGGGTCTGAGTCCCGAGATTGGCGTTTTCCTATCATTGACTACGTCCAATATGGTATTTTGCCAGAGGATGTAAAAGAAAGGGAATCAATCCGCCGAAGAGCACCAAGATTCTTCTATAATACCGAGACCCATACATTATACCGTCGAGGGTACGATGGTTTGTTACTCCGATGCCTTTCGAACAAAGAAGCAGAAGAAGTTCTTAAGGAAGCACACGAAGGAGAATGCGGTGCGCATCAGCCCGGTCCCAAACTGTATGATCGCATCAGAAGAATGGGATATTTTTGGCCAACAATGGTTCATGACGCAATCGAATACGCCCGAGAGTGTCATGCTTGTCAAATACATGCAAATTATATGCATCAGCCACCGGAGCAGTTGCACACGTTAACCACGTCTTGGCCGTTCGAGACATGGGGGATGGACATTGTCGGTCCTATTTTTCGCCCTTCAGTCAAAGGTGATCGATTCATTCTTGCAATCACGGATTACTTTTCAAAGTGGACTGAAGCAATTCCGCTTAGAGAAGTGAAGATGAACAATGTCATCAGTTTCATCAAGCATCATGTCATATACCGACACGGCGTGCCAAGACGGATCATTCATGACAACGGTCCACAGTTCATAAGCAATGCCTTTGTCAGGTTTTGTGACAAGTTTAAAATTTAAGATGTTTCGTCAACAGCTTATTACCCCGCTGCGAATGGATTAGCTGAGGCATTTAACAAGACGATCATTAAGATCCTGTCAAAGCTCATGAAGACCAATAAACGAGACTGGGACGATAGACTCGGTGAAGCACTCTGGGCTTATCGCACCACCATACGCACACCTACGGGAGCTACCCCATATTCGTTGGTATACGGATGTGAAGCTGTGCTACCATTGGAGATTCAAATCTCATCCCTTCGGATCGCTCTCACAACCAGATGACGACAGAAGAACAATATCAAAAGCGTCTCGGAGAACTCGAAAGATTGGATGAGAAGCGCTTGGAAGCTCAACAACACATCGAGTTTTATCAAGCCAGAATATCTAGGGCTTTTAACAAAAGAGTCCGACATATAAGCTTCAAGGAAGGAGATCTGGTCCTCGCTGCTCGCCGACCGATTATCCTTAAATTCGAACCCAAATGGGAAGGACCGTTTGTAATAGACACAGTCTATTCAAACGGCGCATATCGCCTGATTACTCAAGACGGCGCCAGGCAATTAATGCCAATAAATGGGAAGTTCCTGAAAAAATACTATCCCTAGTATATTCAGGATAACCCATTTATCGGGAAGTTCTTTGAAGAATATTACACTTAATATTCTAGAGGATAACCCAAAATCATTAAAACCACCAAAATCCCTCACTGATCAATTTCAATTGATAGTGAGTCCACTAAAAATGTCTTTCTGGCCCTCTTGATTCTTTCCATGAACAAGAGGTCCACTCTCAGCTCAGAGTCCCCTTTCGATAAACGAAAGAACTCATTTCTCTTCTCTTTGGTTAAGCCTTCTCATGGTTATAACCGAAGTTGAAACTTCATTTCGATAAACGAAAAACTCATCTTCCGACTAGATAACCAATCCTATGAAAGGTAAGTTTATCTAGATTTTTCAGATTCTCGGAGTGGAGATCCCACCTCTAGTTTCTTTTGTGCTGGAAATAGAATATAAAATTCTTCCTTTCCAGAATTAAGGAATAGAATATAAAATTCTTCCTTCCTTATTTTCGGGTTTGCCTTCGCCCTAAAAGAAGACCGGGAAATAGAATATAAAATTCTTCCTTTCCCGCACCGATCTTTTCCAAGAATTTGTTAGTCTAGGTTTTATCCTAGGAAGTTTATCCTGAATCCTAAGCAGGGATAAGTCTGCGCCTAACACGCGTTGCCGGTTTAGTCTTTTTCCGTAGAAAAAGACACCAGAGTTCGATTCTGGAGTGTTCTATCCTGAAACCTAAGCAAGGATAAGTCTGCGCTTAACCCGCGCTGCCGGTTAGTTCTTAACCGTAAAAAAGAACACACGTTCACATATTCAACATTGTGGCAGGTGGTTATTAATAACATCAAAATCCATGCCTTACACGCATGGGGAAATTCATCCTGAATCCTAAGAAAGGATATGCCGACGCCTAACACGCGTCGCCGGTTTAGTCTTTCTCCGTGGAAAAAGACACCAGAGTTCGATTCTGGGGTATTTTATCCCGAAGCCTAAGTAGGGATAAGTCAGCGTCTAATACACGCTGTCGGGTAGCCTATTCCCGTAACAAGGGCGAAGTCTACGTATTCAAAGTTGTAGCACCAAGTCTAAGAGAATTCACTCTCTTAGCACAACGTTACATGTGGAACGGATTTAGACAATCCGCATGCTAGCCCGATTCAAACGGTAGTCAGTAAAGGCATATCAAACCCATTGAAGGCTGGGGGTTAGCCAAAAATCCTAAAGTCAACACCTAACACGTGTCGCCGGGTAGCCTATTCCCGTAATAATGGCGAAGTCTATGTATTCGAAATTATAGCACAAAGTCTCAGAGAATTCATTCTCTTAGCACAACGTTACATGCGGAACGGATTTAGACAATCTACATGCTAGCCCAATTCAAACGGTAATCGGTAAAGGCTTATCAAACCCGTTGAAGGCTGAGGGTTTGCCAAAAATCCTAAAAGATCAAACCCGTTGAAGGCTGAGGGTTTGCCAAAAATCCTAAAAGTATTATGGTCAATCATTTCAAATGGAATGAGGAATCATAATGAGGGTTTGCCAAAAATCCTAAAAGTATTATGGTCAATCATTTCAAATGGAATGAGGAATCATAATAAAAACAAAGATAAAAACCAGTTCCACTAAGAAAATCAAAAGTCAGAGTTTTCAACAAACAAAATCATACATCAAGCCCGTGGCTAAAAATCTGCTGACTAAACTTAGACAACTTCTCATCGTAAGCTTGCCTAAGCTCATCCTACAACTCGGCTCTGATGGATTCTTCAGTCGCGGCTAAAGTCTTCACAGCGACCTTCTCTGTCTCGATCAGCTTTTGCTTCAAGGACTTCAGCTCATCAGATAAAGCAGTATGTGCTTGCAGATCCTCTATCTTCGTCATATGGAGAATACTCAAAGTCTCCTCTTTTTCACGGAGTTCTCTTCGGAGCTGGTCTATCTGGGTCTCACAAGAGGCAATGGAAGAATCAAGCTCGTTGAGTGATGATGACCTAATAGCAAGGTTAGCCTCAACTCGATCTACCCGGTCCCGCTGCACCTGAATCTCGAGCTCATCAAGAATCCTAGTATCGCGCCATGTCTGTAAGCGAGTATCCAACTCGGCAGCAATGAATGAAGAGGCGCCTACATCCCGGAGCTCGCAAAACATCTGAAGCTCATGCTCTAGGCAGTCGAGATCATCAACTATAGCCTTCGCAAGATCCGGGTATCCTGCATCCCTTATTGAATTTATTTTAAGATCAAGGAATGGCTTAAACTGGTGAAGGGAAAGTCCGTCGTGGAAGAGTTTGCCAATCATAGCATTCACGAAGGAGAAGAAGGAGCGGACTTCTATGCAGATGACGATCTTCTCAGGGTCATTGTCAGATAACAACTCCTTCACAAGGACATGAAGCCGAGAAGAAAGCTCTACACAAGAAGGAGAAATTCGTCAAGAAAACCTTAATTAGGAAGTAAATGACATTTCTCAGTTGCTTAATATATACCTTCTGCCCCTTGGGTCACTGGGGGTAGTGGAGGTGTAACGGCTGTGGGTGTATCAACTAGTGTATTTGGTCCCACAGCCGGCTCAACAGGATCAGTCTCGACAAAAGCTCCTGTCAAATATAAAACAGAATTCTCAGATGCATCACATTATAGCTACATTAGTCAAAAATTGGCTAGTCCTATAATTACCTTGAGAAGAGCCACGTACCTTCAGAAGAACCATCCTCGGGATTCTTAGGGAGCGTAGACTCAGGAAATTTATCTCCAGGAAACTGGTCATCAATCTGAGGAGAGCCATACATGAAGTGGAGCATAGGAGTGGAGCATAGGAGTGTCCACAAGCAAACCTTCCTCGTCAAAATCATCAGTTGAGAAATCTGACACAAGGGAATATAAGTACGAAAGAAGAATAAAGAGACTACAACCAATAGAAATGAGTTACCTCTTATAAGTGTGTCAGCCTCTTTATTCCCAAGATCCATGTTTGTCTACTGCAAATTATCTAAAAGAGCGAGAAGCATAGAGACAATCAGGGAATGCACAAATTCTGAATCATTCGACTCCTTTGTGTGCTATCTAAAAGATATATTGTTAATGGTAGATGTACCTGGATTCATCGAACCGGGTCCTACATTGATGGTCTCCCTAATGTCGGCAGCTTCTGCAGGCCTTTCTACTTGGTGCAGTGAGTCGGGCTCACCAGAAGATGTAAAATCGTGAAAAACAGGATCAGGACTCATCTCGCTCTCCCCACGCTCTCCTATATAGAGATGGAAAAGCATGAGTCAAAGTTCTGAATGATCAAGAGGTTGGTCTATAGGGTAGATGTTACCTCCATCACTAGTAGGATCGTCACCGACCAAATCCATATCAGATGCTCGCGAAACTACACGCGGCTTGCAGGCTAATCTCTTCCGCCTAGCAGCAGGGACAATAATCGAAGGTCTCGCCTGGGGAGAAGGACGGAACTCTTCATCTTGGTCAGCTGTGGTCCCTAAAACATCAAACCATTGTCAGGTTTAATAATTCTGGGATATAGAAGGAAAGAGTAAGTAACTGACCTCGTTCATAACAGTCCTCGTAATCTTCAAGATCTTCGCCTGAAGCCTCATCAGTAGAATGAAAGATCTTCTTTCCCTCGTCGTCAATCCGACGAGTCTTGTGCCGTGCCCTTTGTGACCGAGCATTTTCCCAAATCATACGAGAATCAGCCTGAGAAGCCTCCTCAGCCTCTAGCTCTGCAATCGGCTTCACGGGGACAGTTTTATTAGCTGCTAACAACCACTTGCAGCTTAAGAAGGTGAGGTTCAACTGCCGCTCAGCACTCGGGAGACTGAACTTAGCACCAGTACAGCCCGTCACGGTCCACAACCATGCACGAAGACCGTCCACCAAACCGCCGGGGGTCCGAAGCTGCTGACGTGGATTCCCGACATAAAGCTGATCATAACCAAACTGGCGGGCGAATCGGCAGGGTAGATATGGCTCTATAAAACACTGATTCCTCACCCGGAAAGTCAGATAACCCGGCCTGATGTTCACCAGCCAGTTAAAGGTAGAGCACCTCCAATGGCAAGATGTCACCGGACTGATACGGGACCACACATTTCTTTAACCAGATAGCGAGGTAACCGGCAAGAAGGGTCATCGGTCGAATCGGTGCGGTCGCATGCCATAAGAATGATTTAAACTTGGTCCCTGCAGGAAAGCCACTCTCAGGACTACTAATGGTATAGGAATGAGCGCCAATCTTCTTCAATAGATTATTCACCCCTGAAGGAGTGAGCGGTGCCAGCTCACAAATAGGCTCGCCGGAATTGCTCTCTAGATTTCTGAACAAGTAGCATGCAAACTGCTTCAGACTCACGAATGACTTAGTCCTCTTCGCTAAAGGCTCAGACTGCGCCAAAGCAATATGATAGTGACATGTGAGGTCCCATAAAGTCTCATAGCGGTCGGGCATGTGATCCTTCAGCTGACTCAATTCTTGGTTGGAGGTAAAGTATTCCTGATACAGCATCTGTCCCATGGGCAAACCAGAAATCCTGTGCATCTCATGGAGGGCCAAGCCCAACTCCCCTTACCGGGTCAAAAAAGTATTCGAATCTGGAGTATAAAGCTCGCACAAAGCAAAGAAATGCTTCGCGCTAACAGGCAAACCATACATGGTGGCACGAACGGCTGCATATAGACCACAAGCGTGCAACTCCTCGCTCCATCGGCTCAAGACATACTTCGTCATGCGAGTCCACCAAAGCTTGTCCAAAGAATGGACCCAGCCATAAAATCTGTGACGCGTCGCAGGCATCTCCCGTCCTAAAGCAGCGAGGCAATTCTTCAAAGTAGAAGCAGAGGCAAGAAGCTCGTTACGCGACGGTGCATCCAACCCTAATATTCCAGGATGCAATCCAGTGATATGACTCCTGCTCGAACCAGGAGCTGCCTGATGAGTGATGTAGCCACAGTGAACGCTCTCATGCTCCTCCGTCAAGCGCCACGACATCTCCCGCGTCACAGCCTGACGCCTGAGCTCAGTCAACGAACGATGCCGAGGAATCTTCGGCAAATATATGAAACCACTGCCAGTTTTATGGAGCCACTGCTCGACGTCAATAAACACTGCATCCGGGTCTTCGGCAGAGTCGCCAAATAAGAAGTCGGTCTTCCTGAGAGGTTGAATAGAACTGGCATCCTTCACGAAAGGCGCATCTGTAATCAACTGTCGAAGAGCTCGATGTCCACCTTCCTTCACCACTTGGGCAACCTATGTCGACATGCCCGAAGCAAACTGAGGAGTAACTGGAATAGGGGAAAAATCGTCAGAAGTCGAATAATACTCGCCATGACGCCCGTACACTGTGTGAGATGAGAACGCTCCAGAAGGATATTCCACTGGAAGCAAACATTTAAACATTTGTTAGTCTCAATTATAAAAGGAAGTTGAACTCATCCTACGAATGGGTAAGATAGAGTCACTACCTTATAAAGGGTGAGACGATTTGGCCACATTATGCACTTATAAGGTAGGATATATCAAAAAAAAAAAACATATCCCTGCCTTATAAGGCACAATGTAGCGACAAAACGCCCCTTTATTTATTATGAGATATGTTGTTGACCAAGCAAAACATATCTTTAAAGCGTCGATCCTCACCAAGGAGAATCAAGGCTCTTCCCGATTGTCTCACCAAGGAGAACAACGTGGGGTAAAAAGGACCAATTTGTAAATTTCCAAGAAAAAATGGACTAATTTGTAAATTTCCAAAAATAGCTCACCGGCATAAGATGGAGGCGCGCCATCGGCCGACGCGGTAGAGGATTGACCCCTCACAATACGAGACATGGTGACCTGCAAAATAAATTAAGAGATCAGATCCAGAAAAAAATTCCCCTTTTTATTGTGATTCTACCCCCCTGAAAGACGAGCTCGAGGCGCCAAATCATAATTCAAACCCTCACATGCGATCCCACAAATTCATAAATTGAATTAAGCATAAAATATGCTAAATTTGTGAAGGATTTACCTGAGGAAAAGCTCGTGGATCCAATAAAAATCAGATCTTGAAAGAGGCTCGAACCACGTGCTCGAGGGGCCTGAGAGAAATTCTAAATATGGAAATTTTGAGGGATTTCTCAGTCAAAGATCAAAAGGAAGGACGAATCTAAGACAAATATGAAGATTTGAGGAAGAACGGATGCACGAGGGAAGAGAAATCCAAAAATAGGGGAGAGAGGGGGGCCGGCCCTAATGAGGAGAAAAAGACCCATTTTTTTAATGTTGAACCAAGCCTAGTTGAACCGGACCAGACCAAGTTGAACCGGACCAGACCTGGTTTGAACCAAAATTCAAATTAGAGCTGAACCGAGTGTCAAAACAACTTCAAATCGCCCGACGGTTCAGTCCATTATTTATTCACTCCTCTCCCATATGTTCGGAAGGGTCGGAGGATTTTTTGAGCCTAATTACTGCCTTTTTTTGGCTCATTATCAAGCCGGTTCGGCTCATTATCAGGCCGGCTCGGCTCATTCGGGCACAGAAATTACTCCAATGAGGTATACGAGTATAAACTATTTCCTATTTTTGGTTGAGAAGTTTCTGGAGAATATTTTTCTAAAAATGTTCTTAAGGATAACTCAACAACACTACACCGAACAACGCGTTGCAAATAAAGACTCAACGCCAACAATCAGTTCTATGTTGAACCAACAAGCATGAGCTAAAGATTAGAAAATCAGGAATCGACTTCAAGTTTAAAATTCCGACAACGGTTAGACAATAAATGCAGCACCGAAAACCTTACAGACATTCGACAAAGCACCGAATAGCCTGAAGGATTGAAGGAATCAAGAACAGAAGCCATTCCTGGGACAATCATATCCAAAGTATTCCAGACT